TTTCCGGAGCCCTCCACTACGGCTTCTCTCATAATCATATGGTGGTTTTGGGACGTTCAACCCCACGTATCAGTCAATCATCTCGGGGTACTTCGATCATTGGCTGTAGCTCGCTGAGACAGAGAAAAGCTACAATGTCCTAAGGGAGCTTATCATTGCCGAACAATTTCTCAAGGCATGCTCCCCCTCATTAAGAATTTTCCTGAAAGAAAGAAGAATGAACTATCCAGGAACTTTCCCAGACAGCGAAAATTTTGCCGAAACTCACGCTTTGTTGAACTTTCATAGGGAGTGGCCTGAGGAGGAGATCATTCAAAAATGCGGTCTGAGAACAGATAAAAAATCACAGCATGTCCACTGAGTGAATATTGCTGAGTGGGGCGAAGCGTCTGTCAGCTCCTCCGTGGTTCCGTGTGTTCCTTTTTGCTTCCGTCCGTCCGCGCGACCATACGTGCGTCAATCCAAGCGTCCGCCCATCTGGTCGTGTGTCCATTTATGAGTCTATCCGTCTGTCCATCCGTTCGTGCATTCATCTACTCGTACGTGCGTGCATCCATCCATCCGTCCGTCTGTCTGCTTGTCTGTCTGTCCGTCCATCCGTGCGTCCGTCTGTGCATCCATCTAGTGAACACTCCAAGTACCGCCATCTCTCGTCTCACAATTCTTGTGACCCATACCCGCTCTAGAGTGGGTATGTATGTAGCCCCTGGTGGCTTTATACATACATACATACATACATACATACATACATACATACATACATACATACATACATACATACATACATACATACATACATACATACATACATACATACATACATACATACATACATACATACATACATACATACATACTACATACATACATACATACATACATACATACATACATACATACATACATACATACATACATACATACATACATACATACATACATACATACATACATACATACATACATACATACATACATACATACATACATACATACATACATACATACAAGGGATGAACAAACCCACGCTATAAGGCGCTTTGCCTCTAAAAAGACACCTCCGAGTGATCGGGGAAACAATCACTCTTTCCTATATGACGAGAAGGGGTACAGGGGAGCCATGTGTTGGGCGCGCACTAAAAGGGAATATGGAAAGCAAGGTCGAGCAGTGGAGAAACTGCGTTCTAACAGGAAGAAGTTCATCACCCGAGGAGATGGCGAAAGTGAAGCGTCGTGCATGATTGCAGTAGACCGCACACGGGAGAAATCTCCATGCAATAAGAGTTATTGCTCTCAAGAATAGAGAGAGGATTCCTGTTGTCAATACCGCAGTCAGCAGCGCCATTGCATCGTGAAGAATTCAGAATATGCCAGTGAAGGAAAAATTTTCAAACGAGGGGCTGGTTACCGTGCTGCGCGATACTGGCTACGAACGCTCATCGTACTACAGGCAATAGTGACTGCTAAAGGAAAGATTAACTGGCAACTATTGACCGGTCTTATTGCTGGATCGCACGGTGAGCTACCTCCTGTAAGCTGTGGTATCCCTGGACACCCCATTCCTAGGAGGAGAGTTTCGTGCTTTGTGCTTGAAGGATTCTCTGCACGATGTATTTGTTGGGAACCGTGCTGGAGCAGCGTTGATGGAGACTTCTTATTTTTTTTATTTCATTCATGTGACCTTAAAGGCACAAGAACGGGCATTACATAGGGGAGGAATACAGCACAGAATACAACAAATGCAGAAAACCAAATGAAAGAAGAAACAAGCATGAAAAATGCATAAACAAGCAAACATAATGCAAACACAATGTAGAAAAGCCAAACAGACTTCAGTAATACAAGTTTCAGTAGAGTAAAATAAGATCATTATGACGGAGTACAATCTAGAAAAAATATACATAGATTAACTGCAAACTTGGAATCCGATAGTTTGGCTAGTATGGAAAAACAGCTCACTTAGGTGAAATAGTAGAGCTGAGTGGAAAGCAGTGAATTTTTATTACTTGCAGTGTTGCGTAGAAGGGCATCTCACTCGTTTACTGGTAAAACCAAAGGAGAGCGTAAATAATTTACTGTGTGAGCAATTTGTGGACGTACCTTGTGATCGTGATCACATAGGGCTAAAATGTTTGTGGCTGGATGAATTTCCGTGCGAAAGGACTGTTGCTAATGTCGATGCCATGAAAAAGTGAAAATCTGGAATATTTTCCGTGTGTAATAAGTTGTAATGTACCAGGAGTACTTTTTATTGAAAATGCACTGTGAGAACCTGAATATGGGGAAGCATTGAACCTAGCGGCTTTATGTTGAATTTATTCAAGCATGTCATAAAGATATGCTTCGTGCGGACGCCATTTGTTAGAAGCATGCTCTATGGATAGTTTGATGAGTGAATTAAGTGCCTGACGTTTAGTGTCTGAAGTAGCCAGGCGTAGGCGGCGTTTCAAAAGGCCGCGCTTACGAAATGCTTTGCTGGTAATCAAGTCTGCATGCTTGTTCCACATGAGATTGGAATGCAGAGTATTTATTAGACAATACTGTTTCAACGGGAGAAATGTTGGTGAGGTACACAGTCGGCAATAGATCGGCATCACAACCGAATATAGCATGTTTCATTTTAAACGTCATTTCATTTGTCATTTGCTGCACCATTAGGAAAGTGTCGTTAGGTCAGATTGCACGGGTAAAATGTCGTTCTGGTGGCCTATTTCTTTATACATTGTGCAGTCATCAGCAAAGCGTCATACTGCACATTAATTGATATATTGCTGATATAGATTACAAATAACAGCGACCCTAAAACTGACCCTTGTGGAACGCCTGACTTGACCTGCGTCTGTTTATATATGTAGGAGTCGATTTTAACACACTGAAACGTGTTTGTCTGAAAGGCTTCAGTCCACTGAATTGTTATTTATCTAGCCGTATACTACGCAGTTTCGATAGAAGACTGTTGAGGAGCGCGATCAAATTGCTTTGCAAAAATCAATAAAAACCGCATTGATTAAAATGACCTATAGAAGGAGTTATGCAAATGAGTGACTAGCTTATGCAGTAGTGACTAACAGTTGAGATACACTACATTTATGTTTCTGAAAGCCTTGTTCATTTTAAAAAGTAGCTTATTGGATTGAAGGTGGGGCATCATGTTTTCGGAAGCAATTCGGTAGCACTTCGGTAGCAATTCAAAGCAAGGCCAATAGTCCAGCAGCTGCAGTGACGTTGAGCAAGACACGCCCACGACGTCTAAGACATGCCGTGGTGGACGACACGGGGTACCGATAATAGACCGATCAGGGGCATATGAACCAGAATCAAGGGAGCGGAGCCCAGCAGCGGCAAGCGGTATTAATCGGACGAAGAGTGTGAAAAAGACATCAAGAAAAGCCAATCCCATGTAAAACTCGACGTCTATCACCCACGCCATGGCTTAAGGCCTGACTGGAATAGCCCCTACCTGCCTGGATCTCGACCCGAAGAGAAGATGAGGCGCCATCGCCTCCGTACGCGTGACCTCCGTACACCCCCACGCCGGTGAAGGTGGCAGCACTTCAACAGGAGTTCGCATAACGTGGTTGGCGGTGTTCGCAACAGCAAGAAGTTCCCGTCACACCGCTTTATTGACGCTGACAAGCCGAGGGTACAAACTAATCAGTAGTCGGCACTTAAACCGTTACCTCCCCAGGTTTGCCGACGACCTTTCCGGGCAAAAGTATTCAAGCAACAGAAAAAAGACAGACGATGACAAGCCGGTGCTTATCACAACCAAGCGAAGACCAGGAGGAAACCACCGCGTGCATCATGTGTTGTGCATTCTGCGTGTGTGCAGGTGTTCTCGTGTCAGAGCCGGTAGGGTGTCCGTGATTCATGGCAAGCTACCATGGTCTGCTGGTGCGTGAGTCCACGAACCCTACTTGGGCTGTGCCAGACGTCCGGGAAGTGCTATGCATGCGCGTGGTGGTGATGTATGTAAATATTCTTCTACGCGAAGCGTATCCGTGCATAACGTTCTGAAAGCAGGGGAAGTTGGACTAGTGAAATACATTTTTTGTGTGCAACGTGACGTTAGAGGTTAAAAGAAGACGAAAATGTGTATGGTGCGCGGCGGTGTAGTTCATGAGGGAGTTTTCGGTAACAAATAAATTGAAATAAACTACGCCTTTGTGCTCCTGGGGCCGTCTCGTTGACTCGGTATGTACCGAAATCCACCCTGCTGATCACCAGTGTAAGGCGAAAATACTCCGCCGACACACCGTGAATACCATGGCTCATGTGTCATGAAAGCATTTTACTCAGTAACGTGCAATGGATATGCGCAAAGCAAGTGCGGTATTATGTGAATATGTACCACACGTGGAACTCCAGATCTGTAATAACAGGCATTACAAATCTTATATAAAAATAAATATTGTTGCTTTACAAGCAGACATGACAAAACATTGTAAAGCATATTGTAGTGGTGTACTCATTAGATTACCTGATCTTTTTTTATTATTTTCCTAACGTAAGCAGGCATGTTTTTGGAAACGACTATGGTGGTTAGAATGAGACCCACACCTTTGAGCTTATCATACCGTCATATATTTCTAAAGGGTAACTGGTGGATGACTTTATAAAAACATACTGTTAAACAAAACACGGACGTGCTATTTCCTATAAATCTTAGTTTTTGGTGTCAGGCAAGCTTGCTGCAATGACAACGCAGTCACATGAATTCTCCTTGCTCACTGTTTGACATGAATTTCGTTGGCACAGCGTAACCTGTCTGCCGGAATTTTACCCAATAGTGCTACTTGTCAACAAATTACGTAAGAGCATTTCATACAGCTGCTTCCGAAAGGTGATCTTAGAGTAGAATGAGAATTTGATCGAAGGCAAGGCTACGTCTATAAACATCCTGTACGCATCACACCTTCACGGCGCTTCCATTTTTATGCATAACGCTTGTGTTCACAAAGTTAAAAATCAACAGTAACTGTATAAAATAAAATACCTACGGAAAAAAGTTGCAGATGGTCTTCCTAGTGCACCCACCAACTTTTGCAGTGAGTTAATATTACGCTGACGACTTTTATATAGCCAAATCGGTGCTCCATCAACAAGCATACAGTGAACTCTGAAAAGGCCAATTTCGTTTCTCGTTAAATTGATCGCTAGGCACTAAATGTGTTTCGTTAGACTGAGAGACAAGTCGCAAAAAAAGCACTGCGCACAGAAATAAATTATTCCATTGTCACCATCACATCTATGTAGATGCGTTATTCAAGCTCATCATCAGCGTATTTGAGGGAAACAAGGTATGCATGAGAAGTTTCACAGATGGGTAATATTATTGTGTAAAGAAGAGCGAAGACAGTTAAAACTGCAGGCTTGCTTAGGATCAGTATGAATATGAATTGGTTTTCACTTCTCAATGAGCGTCAGAGTGACCTTATGTTTCTATACACTGGAAGCCTTACCATTCAAACAGCCGCATTGCGTGTTTTCCCCTGAGATCATTTCTTTACCTAAATGGAGGCAACATTGACGCAGCTTTACAACTTTCAAGCACAAGGAAAATACTTTATTTCCGATGAGCTTTGTGCATTCAGATACTGAAGGACTAACACTAAACGTGGCCGATGAGTAGCAACATAAATTGGAAACACATACACACAGGTTCATTAGCAACGCTAAATTCAGCTTATTGTAACACAATATGCGACTAACTCTCTCGCCACATCAATACCAATAGGGCCTTGTGTAGTCCTAGTAGCAACATAGTCTGCCAGCATGTTAAATTTTTACACCTAAGATGAAGTGTTGGATGCATAACAGCGAAGTAAGGCCGTCAAGGCTTCAAGCTTTGCAAATAAGCTATAAGTATGTAGCACCACAGGGTCATTCGTTGATAAGATGTGTGCCGTGGACGCACTCTAGAAGCTTTGTGCATGCGTGCGTACGTGCGTGCGTGCGTGCTTGCGCGCGTGTGTTTGTGTGTTGGGGAGGAGGTATGGTACTCGTCTAAGAAATAGAGGTAGTACTGGCGATTTATTGTCAGCGTTTCTATATCGCGGCTGTATTTCAGAAGCGCATGCCTGGTGAACATATTTAGCCTCTGGGCTAAGGCGCTTTATGAATTATTTCTGCAACCTACGTGGAAACAGTAAGCTCTTGAAAGAGAACCGAACAGCAATTGTGCAGCGCTGTCGGCAGAGACAATAACTTTCTAGTCAGAACGCAATGAAGTCGTCTAAAAGAAGAATGCTGTTTGTGCTTTCCTTTGCATGTGCGTTTGCACTTTCGAGAAAGATAAAAGTATAAGGCCTAAGAACTTTCGAAGTGTAAAGTCGCTGGCTAAAGCTGTTGCAGCACGACCGCAGAAGGCACCACTAAATTTTTGGGGTGCTGCCACACTGTTCATTAAGCCTCGCGCTATATAGTCGTGCGCCTTAATTGATCTCAATATGAACATGTTGAAGGTGCTGGAACTACAACAGAAGCTGAAGTGATTTTAGAACTCACTAAAACTATTTGGTTAGCTAGGATTCTCATCATTGTCAAAAATTTAGTTATTTTTTTTAGACTTTTTTAGCTGGTGGCCTACAATACGCGACAGGAAGGTTTCTTTACCGTCGCCCACGCACACGCACAAAAAGTGAGGTCGCTGAACAAACTAACCAGAAATACGTCATCTTCGCAACTTTTTTTGTAGCTGCGCTGCACTCCGGTAAAGGTTACTTGGCGTTCTGAGACCTGAAGTAGCTATAAGAGCGTTCATTTTGCACCTGAGGCTAAAGTAAACATAGACGTGGTATAAATTCCGCTTCAGCTATAGGCTATTCATCATAATGGCAGACGGGCGAGTGCAAACGGGTGGCGTCCATGCTGTGACACTCCACCTGATCATGATGTGCCTTGCTGTGTTGGATCGTTCTGTTGAAAATCTGTAGTGTTTAGTCTCACTTCCCATTAAATGCGGCTGACAATCGACTGCTGTGGTCCCTAGCATATACCAGGTTACATCAGTTATCCAAACTGAGGTATTTCTTCTCGGTAAATGGGAACCGTTTGTTTTTTGCTGAAAAGGAGGAACATTTTTTGGGATCAATGGATTTCATTGATCAAAATGATTAGTGTTTCTTCTCAGTTCTCATACTGGTGGCAATCGAGTGTTGTGGCCACTGGCATATACAACGTTAAATCAGTTATAAAAACTAAGGTATTTCTTCTCGGTAAATGGGAATTATTCTTTGCTGAAAAAAGGGTAACCTTTCTTTTTGAAAGACCTGTCGGCAGCATTTTTTATTGCAAAATTGGCCAGGTAAGATTACAACTCCCAGGCGCGTGTAGCAGGCGCCAGGAATAGTTTACCCTATAACTCTATGGCATGCGTCTGTGTATTTTAAATGCGAATCATTTTCTTGCGAAGCAAAGAAACATTTAGCATGTATCTATATAACTATCTACATATATATCTATCTAGCTAGCTAGCTAGCTGCCTACTTCTGGGTGCACTCCTTAAAACCCCCTTAACTTTGAGTACAAGAAATTTATTATTAGGGTATGATGATTTGACAAGTATGAGTAGCTGGTCATGACATGAAAAATGTCACAATCCTGTCGCCTACCTCATCCAACTCTTTTCACCAAGAATGTGGCAAATACAGATGAATGAATGGATGGATGGATGGATGGATGGATGGATGGATGGATGGATGGATGGATGGATGGATGGATGGATGGATGGATGGATGGATGGATTGATGGATGGATGGATGGATGGATGGATGGATGGATGGATGGATGGATGGATGGATGGTAGGATGGATGGATGGATGGATGGATGGAAGGAAGGACGGACGGACGGACGGGCGGACGGACGGATGAACGGATGGATGGATGGATGGATGGATGGATGGATGGATGGATGGATGGATGGATGGATGGATGGATGGATGGATGGATGGATGGATGGATGGATGGATGGATGGATGGATGGATGGATGGACGAACGGACGGACGGACGGATGGATGAAAGATCTTTATTAATGCCCAATACGTTGCGCTGGTGTCCGAGCCCAAAGAGGGTCACTCTGATGTTGGGACCGAAAGACGTAGCTCTTCAGCCACTTCGCGGGCTCGTTAGGCTGCTCATAATGGTTCCATAATGTAAACCTGCGTGAAGCTGCGTCCAATCGTTCTTCAGCATTTTGTTTGTCGCTGTCCCACGCGGAACAATGCTAGAGCATATCAGCGACATCTATGGTATAATAAAATCAATTCAATGTTGTAGGAACAGAGAAATCCAGGAAAAATTATTGTATATAAAAGCAGGTTCGGGTAAGTTCTTGTCATTATTAGCTCTAGCATTGTGACCTCAGCTTTTCTCAGTTTACCGTGTGAAGGGGGAATACCATGAATCCCGAATGTAAATGTTTCACTGGCTTGTTTTACGAGAGATGGTGTTCCTTGCATTCTGAATCCTCAGTATCATCTTGCCTTGTGACAGCATGGTTGACAAGTTCTCGCAATGCATTATGGACAGATTCCCTTGGTTACGTGGGGGCACTGTTGATTTCTCTCATGTGAGTGGGAAACCAAATAATCGTGGCTGGCTTGATTACATTTCCTCGAGAATTGTGAAAGCCTGTCTACAGATTACTCTTATGACAAATTCTCGCTACGGCTGACCTAGAACTACTGTAGATACAGATGATTGACAGTAATTATTCAGGCTCAAGTGTCGGTATGAGAGCGGGATCAAAGTGCACACAAAATGTCAGTAACAGGGCAATCTGAAATGATAATGATAATGCGTCCACTATAGCTCTTGCCCACTCAGCTGCATTGGCCAAGAATTGAGGTTATGAAATTTAAGGCTCTTGAAATGATACGTTGTCGTAACAGAATGAGGATAAAGCACACGTAAATACATAAAGAGTACAATAACTTTTTTGCCATTTCGAACAGCCAGAATAATATATACATTGAATTAAACTTCGAGTAATTTTGAACACGTTCAAAATAGATGTTTAGAATGGTCCTAATAATACTATATTAACAAATACACAAATAAGAATTCAGGGGCGCATTCGTTTCGTTTTATGAAAACAACTGCAAACGACATCAAAGGCATTCCTGTGGCTGTAGCCCAGAACTAAATCAACAAAAGAGAATATTTTCAATAGTGAAGGGCAGCCCAAGGTTAGCAAATGGGATGACAAGGAGCCGTTCTTTTGATTGTCTGCAACGGTGATATGACAAAACATAATACTCTCTTGATTCCATATCTGTACAAGGACATATTCCCAAACCAGCCCTTTGTAATTATATATTTAACGGGGGTACACGACAGCGTAATCATGTTAGCATGACTTCCAGTTGTCTAGTATGACACGAGTCGGATTTCTATCAATATTTCAAATGTCTACATTCAGTGCATGGTGTTACTGATTCTATGGCATCAGCCCTGAGTGAACATTTTCGATGCCTTATCCCCATTATACTGGATAGCGCCGGAAGCACAGAAAGTATTGGGCCATTTATTGCCATTCGAGCTGACGAGTACACCATTTCATATAACTCCAACTCACAATGTCTAGGTACCCATAATAATTTTAAGATCTTTAGCTGTGGAGGAACTAGCGTAAGAAATGTCCTTAAGGGATCCAATTCGAAATGAGCCCTACAACACCAACGTTGTCGTGTTCTTTAATTAAAAGCCGTTTTAGTGGCTCTGCTAGAAAGGTGCTTCCACCCACTTGACATTTTCCCGGTTTGTAAAGCATCATCTCGGTGGAAGCCAAGACTAAAAGGGCGTGCCACCATTTTAGGCCTTCAAGCGAGAGACGTGCACTATGTCGGTTTTGAGAGTAGTAGTCAATGAGTCCGATTATATGGTTTTCGAACAAAACTCATAGGTGGCAGCTAGTTGTCACTAGGCGCTGGAGAAGTATTTCCACCCCCGTGACATTACCCCGGCTTGTAAAGCACAATCTCGGCAGAAGCTAAGACTAAAAGGGCGTGTCACTCTTGTTGGACCTCAGGCTCTACGTCGGTTTGAGAGAA